GTAGAGAAAACCTGAATCAGAGGAATGGATCTACTACATTGTGAAAAATACACCTTTGCCTACTGACAGTTTGAACTGTCAGGCTGATATTATTCATTCAAGATCGTGTTTATATTACACCCATCAGGATAACATTACTTTAGGTCTCTTCTTTGAGTAAACCACCCAAAGATGTGCTTAGAGGGATTATTCTGTTTTCCTTGGTCTTCAAATTAGATTTTTAAATAAATTCATAAAAGACTCTGGTTTTAAATAAAACATCACCCTGTAAATATCTATTTAGTGTGTTCATAGTTCATTAGTGATTCATAGTTTCTTAATATTAGCAGAATTGTTGGCAGTATTTATTATATCTGAAACAAAAACACTGTCCTGAAGGTTAAATGAGCAATTAATAATTTCAACAAACCAGTATGTACTTGAGGGTATACAATGGCAGGCATCTTATTTGGTGGATTTCAAAGAATACAGAGAAGGGCAAGACACATTCATATCCTTGAAGAATTAAGAATTAGCTGCATAACCAGCTAGTGGTATAGTACATGGTAGAGTGCCTGGCTATGAACTGGGTACTCACTATACAAGGTATGTTAAAAAGGATAATTCATGTGAAAATTTCCAGGTTGTGGTAGTCATTCTGTCCCTCATAGAACTCATTGGTATCCAGTCAAAAGTGACTTACGCATACTGAACAGAAGCTAGCTCTGGAAAGTAGTAGATGATAAATACTACATGAAAAATAGAAGGGCACTGGAAGAAAGAAAAGGGGTGAGATTGCTGAGATTTATAGTGGTCAGTGAAAGCTTCAAGGAGGAGGTGGAATCCGGGCTTGGAAGACTGGGGTTTGAAGTGGAATGGAGGGGGCTATTTGAGGTGAGGCGTGAGGTTAAAGCCCATGTGAGTGATAGAATAATTCATAGTCTAGCCTACTGAGAGCAGACTGTTGATGTTTAAAGCTAGGGCTAAACTGTGTGTGTGGGAGGTCCTTGGAAGCCAGGCAGTAAGGAATAAAGGGTCTTATGATAGTGTTTCAAAAACTCTAGCTGCCCAGGGAGATTCAGGTAGAGAGTTTAATTATTATAGTAGTCTAGTTGGGGGCAAATCAAACTTGAAATTGATGTGATGCTAAGGGAGATGGATATGAGGTTTTGGGTATAGAGTGGATAGGACTTGTGACTGGCAATGAGGGCAGAGAGATTGAAAAATCAGGAAGAATTGACTTAGTTTGGAAGGCTAAGGGAAAATGGAGTTGAATGCTTAGAGAGAGAATCATTTTTTTTTTTTCAACGTTTATTTATTTTTGGGACAGAGAGAGACAGAGCATGAACGGGGGAGGGGCAGAGAGAGAGGAAGACACAGAATCAGAAACAGGCTCCAGGCTCTGAGCCATCAGCCCAGAGCCCGACGCGGGGCTCGAACTCACGGACCGCGAGATTGTGACCTGGCTGAAGTCGGACGCTTAACCGACTGCGCCACCCAGGCGCCCCAGAGAGAGAATCATTTTAAAGGAGGAGGAAGTCATGAATTTGATCTTATGTGTGTTGAAACTTCTGAAGTGATAGCATAGGAACTTTTCCAGGCCATAGAACTCCTCTCAGCCAGGTCACTCATTGTCTGTGGTAAGTCCCTCTGCGTATGGGCCCTCCAGCTTGTCTCTGTTTAGTCACAAGTTCCTCTTGCTACATAGATTTTAAACAGGGAAGGAAAGTGATATGCTCTGATTGGGCCACCTGGACTACAGAGGGCAAGGCCAGAGGCAGGGTAGCCATTTAAGAGATGAAGCAGTACTGTGTGTGATGGAGAATGATGGCCTGGGTCAAGATGGTGGCAGTGGGGCTAGACAAATAAATGCATGAGATTCATGAGACCTCTCTTGAACAGGTACAAAGTAGAACACATACAACTTGGGGATTGATTAAATAAGGGGAGCATAACTATAGACAACTCCAACATTTCTGGAAAGTTGGATGGATGGGGAACTCTGGAGGAGAAGCAGATCTGTCAGGAAGATATTGGAGGATTAAACTTTGGACAAATTGTGTTTGAGGGCTGCCAAATGGATTTGTTGAATAGCTGGTTTGTTTTAGAGGTTCAGAGCCCAAGAGACGCTTGGAATGGAAATGTGTGGTTCAACACCACAAGGAAAGTTGTGAAGCCTTGAGTGAAGGTGGTTCCCTCAGGGAAAAATGTAGAAGCGCTAAAACATGGAGTCCTGGAGAATGTCACTGTGAAGTTTGGCAAGAGCAGAAGGAAGAAAATCATTGGAAATGAGTTAGATCATGAAACTCAAGGGAAGTGAGTGTTTCAAGGATCTGGTCAGAAATTCAAGAGAAGACCAAGTAGATAAGGACTAAAAAATATATCACTCTTTGTCCAAGCAGTTATATCAAGAATGATAAAAATAAGATTCAGGTTGCAATGGATTCCAGGGTTAATGGGAATGAAAAATGTGGGAGTACTTTTCTTTTTCCCATATCCTTCCTCTCCTTCATGCCTTCTATCATGCAGGAGCAGGAATATCATTCATCATTTGAGAGTGACAGAAGTCAGCAAACACTGAGCATCTGCTCAACTGGTGCTTTGTTCTAGGAGAAAGACACTGGCCTTTGCCACTAAGGTGCTTGAGAGGAGAGCAGGGAGGCACAAAGGTGAAAAAAAAAATTAAACTTTGAGTGCCCTGGTGGAGATCTGTATTCCATGTGGGTGATACAGCAAAAGAGGGAAGGGGAGGATCTCCCTTGGGGAGACTCAGGGTGAGCTTGGAGAAAGGAGTGTTTTTGTTGACTGGACAAAACTGAGGGCTTATTAAGCTAAGAAAGAGGGGATGGAAAATAGTGGAGGTGTGAAATAGCAAGGACACTGGAAAGAGCTTCTAATGATTTGTTAAAACCAAAGAGCAGGTTTGACTGGGACATCTGAAAAGTTGTCAAGATTGCAGCAGGCCTGTGTGCCTTTCAGAGGAGTTTGGCTTCTGTCCTTCAGGTTACAGTCAGCCATTGAAGGTTCAGGGTTTTGTCATCATCAGCTGTAGTTCGCAGAGATGACTTTAGTATACTGTGGAGTGTAGTTTGGAAGAATGTGGGGAGCACACCTGTAGTGGTCAGTTACATCTTAGTGGCTCAAAGGGCAAGCTGCATCAAGGAGACACACCTAGTGTCTTACAGTCATGTGTCCGATTTGAAGAATTTTTGTTACATGTGTAGTGTATGGAGAAAATCTTTTTGGTGATCAGCTTCTAGAGAAGTTTCATAAATATCCTTTTAGAAGATGACTTTAGAAGAAGTGTTGGGTATGTGATTTTGTCATAGGGTTGTGTGGACCAACTGAAAGACTATGTCAGAGATATTCATTTTCCTTATATGTATGTTTATGTTTATAATTACATTTATATATATATATGTTTTCTTTGAATAGATGATTGAACCTCAGATTAATGAGCTTTAACTTTGATACCAATTTTTCAGAAAAGGAAATCTGGATGTATATCTCCATCCATGTCTAGCCATTGCGGGCAAGCATACACTTGTTACATGTGTGCAAGCATATGTTTGTACATGCATGGGTGTGTATGATTGTTATGGGGGACATGGCCCTCTTGTCTGGTGTATGTAGATGGGTTTTTTCCCCTTTCTGGGTATATTTGGTGATACAAACTGGGGATTAAAAACTGCTAAGAAGTGGCCTGTTTATAAATAAATTGGATGATTGGCATTTAGTTTTGCTAAAATTTTATCTCCCAATTCAGTTGGAATAATTTCATTAACAGCGCCTTAAGGAACAGGATGTATGGTTGAATTTTCTTTCAGAGAATCGCCTAGTTACATTGGATCCAGTTAAATTTTGCATATGTTATCAGTGGCATTAAATGCAACCAAGTGTGTGTTAAGTAAAATGAGAAAAATTATTTTAGTAAAAAGTAACTTGTACTTCATATATATCATATATATTGAGCTAGTAAACATAGCATATGTAGGTCTTAAGGATAACATCATTTTTACTTAAAACGTGAAATATTCATTTAACTATATTTTTAATATCCTTAAATTTCCTCATTAAACTGTTTATAAGATTATTTATGTAATAAATTTTGAGATTGTTTAAAATTTTTAGTAAGTTCACCATAGATAAGTTCAAGTATTTCACTTTTGAAAACACCAGGAACTAGAAATGAGTATTTCTATAGCAGGGTGAACATTTTTTTTCTATAATCAAGATTTTATAAGTCACAAAATCACAAAATCAATAAACAGTTCTTTCTTATCACTGGTAATTTTTTATTTAAAATCTTTTTGAGGGGCACCTGGGTGGCTCAGTTGGTTAAGCATCCGACTTCGGCTCAGGTCATGATTTCACAGTTTGTGACTTCAAGCCCCGCATCAGACTCTGTGCTGTCAGCTCAGAGCCTGCTTCAGATCCTCTGTCCCCCTGTCTCTCTCTGCCCTTCAAAAATAAATAAACTTAAAAAAAATCTACTTGAAAGGTATAATGTTCTTAGAAATATTTGGTGCAAATATGAATATTGCTACAATAATTTTGTGTTTTATCTTGCTGTCAATAAAAACATTTTAAAAGGTTAAAAAAAGCACAGCAACCTAGGTCTTCTTAAAAACAAAGGCCAAACTAACCAACAACAAAACATAAAACATACAACCAAAAATAGCCCTGGATTTCTGGGGTGCTGTGAGTGTTGGAAAAGAGGTTCTAGTCTTCCTGCTGTGGCTAACTGCCTCCCTTCTCCAAGTAGTTTACTGGCCTTGGGCCTTTGTTCCCTAATTTGTAAAATGTGGTTGGGATGGTGAGCTGGGGTATTGAAATAGGTGGTTAAGTTTATTTTTCTTCTGTCTAGTGTTTAAGGGATATGACTCTGTGATTAGTTTTCTAATTTCAGTATGTCTAAATGGAATTTGGCATTGTTGTTTTTGTTTTTGTTTTACATGACATTGTCTTAGGATACTAAGAAGTTATAAAACTAAAATTTTTATTTATGTTTAAAATTTTAGGTATGCAATACCCCCGGAACATGGAAAACGACTTGAAAGACTAGCTCAAGGTAAACTTGCTTTCTATGTTTCTCATCTAGACAGATTATTTGTTTTTGAGGTATTTTTACAGTGTGGAATCTAACTTGGTTAGTTTTACTCTTTTTAAGATTTGAGTGTTTTTCTAATAGAACAATTAAATTTTTTTTCACATTACTGTGTGAATATTTTTTCCTGTTGCATAGTCTTTATGATTATTTTAGTTGGCTGCTTAGTAGTTCATCAAGTAATTGCACTTAGCTATTTTGATTATTTCCAATTTTTTCTCTTTTATATAATTTTTAATACATATATACATATATATAACTTATTTAACATTGTGCTAATAATATTTTTCCCTTTTTTATTATTAAAATTAAAAAAAAATGTTTATGTTAGAGAGAGATAGAGTGCAAAGTGCGAGCAAAGGAGGGGCAGAGAGACAGAGAGAGGGAGACACAGAATCTGAAGCAGGCTCCAGGCTTTGAGCTGTCAGCACAGAACCCAATGTGGGGCTTGAACTCATGAACTGTGAGATCATGACCTGAGCAAAAGTCGGATGCTCAACTGACTGAGCCACCCAGACACCCCTGTTTTTCCTTTTTTAAAGTTACACTCTTGAGATGAATTCCAAAGAGTACTGATGCTGCATATCAGGGTGCAGGTATTTTATGAGTACTTTTCATGTTGTCCTATCATTTCACCAAAGGGTTGTGTTAAATCTCTTTCTGACTCCTGATTTGGCACCCTGGGTTTGGGGTTACTCTTATGGAAGTATGAAGATGACATAAGCAGATAAACATGAGGGTATATGCCTTCTTAGACTGTCAAGTTTTTTTTTATGTTTATTTATTGAGAGAGAGACAGAGACAGAGACAGAGTGCAAGCAGAGGAGGGGTAGAGAGAGAGACACACACACACAGAACCTGAAGCAGGCGCCAGGCTCTGAGCTTTCAATCACAGAGCCTGACGCGGGGCTTGAACTCACAAACTGCGACATCATGAATTGAGCTGAAGTCGGACACTCAACCAACTAAGCCACCCAGTCACCCCTTAGACTGGCAAATTTAAACATACCTTAGTGGAACTTGAATTTTTATTTTTTGTGGCTTTGTCCAACTTCATATGGGCCAGAATGAAGAACTCTATTAATGGTTTCATTGTGTACCCACTTGTATCACAGAAGGTGCTTTCCTCTTTTCTTTTCTGTGTTTAGGACAGAAAAAAACTTGCCATATCTGTTAATACAAGGGAGGAGAATCATATTCACCCACTGCCAACCTCATCTGTTTTCCTTGACCAAGGAAGAAGTAGACTGGTAGTGACTTGTTTCTAGGGGAAAGTGGAGTTCCATTTGAGTGACAACTAGCCTAAGACATTCTGCTTTTATCCAGGATCGAATCCTCAGTGACCATTGTCCTTTTAGTCAGGTGCTGATCTGTTTTATTGCTGTTTTAGGTTTGCCTTTTAGTAGGAAAGGATTTTTGTTCTTGCATTATGTATGTTTTCATTTGATAATGAAATGGGGACACTGAAAAATCCCTTTCATTGACTTGACAGTTTTGAACAGAACTTGTTAATGATATCTAAAAGTTACTTTCCCCCCAAATTATAGAAAAGTATTAGAAGGAACAGTTACAGTATCACATTTGTCAGAAGCATTATTATAATTTTGGCAGGCTAATAACTATAAAGTCTTAGTGTTTTTATAATGTAATACATTGTAGTAATAATAGCAATGTAACTGAAATCTTGAACTTTGTTAGGGACTATTTTCATGAATATTAAGGTGGATGAGTCCTGGTTCTGGATAATAGATTAGACATAGCTGAGAAAATGATTATCATAATCCTTAAATACACAGGCAGTGAACTTTGTGCTAAATCTGTATGCTGAGCTATCCTCTTCCCTATAATAATTATTCCACCATTTTCTGTTTGCCTCACCACCAGAAAACTTTTAAAATGGAGCCAATGTAAACTTTACAGTATAGAGTCACACACTAAAATTTCTGCTATAAATTGTGAATGCTTTGACATAAACTGTCTGAAAATGACATTCTAGGAAAGTGGGTGCCATTTGTTTAATCAGTAAGAGGTTAATAAACTTGAAGGATGAACAAGAATTTTAAATCAATCGCATGTTTGTTCAGAACTGTTTTGCAGGATTATTTTGAGAAATGACACAGGGAAAAGACCCAATAGATAGTAGAGGAATCCCATCCACTGACCAGATGCCAGCCAAATTAATTGAATTCTGCTAAATAATTAAAATGATAAAATAATGCAGTAAATGTGATGGAACATTATAGGATGTCTAGGTCAAGGCAGCACTTGATACATAAAATGAAAAGCAGCCTGGGATATTTTCCATTATCTTGTCTGCACATCATAATTATCACACTTGCCTTTTATGCATGAATGCTTTCATCTTTGGTTTCCATTGAAATCTTGATTGACTGTGGCACCTACAAATATTTTATCTGGAAGACATTAAGCCTGCATCTAATAAAGCCAGGATTTGATTTTGCCCTTCAGCTGCTTTCTCGTTTATATAGCTTTTCCCCCAATATTATGTAGATGTAAGTATAATAAAAAAAAACTCAAGTGAATTGTTGCAATTCTTATACTTGTTATGTTTGCCTGTAATGCCATTACATTCTTTCTAATTTTTGGTTTGATACAACTGAATGAAAGATATAAAGGAGAATAGAGATATAATGTTAAATCATGAATGACAGTTTTGAACATTTTCACTTTTTAGATCATCAAAATCTCATCTATTTTAGAAATAAGACAATATCTTTACTGTTCTATTGAGTTAAGCAACATATGGATTAAAATAAATTGGGAATGACTAAAAGTTTTTGTGAAGGACTGTAGTCCATTAGTTTTTTGTTGTGAATAAAATGCCAGCGTTAAAAAAAATTGAAGATGACTTACTGTGGTCAAAATATTGGTTACTGGGAAAAGAATATGTGAGTTAGGGCTTTGTGCATCTGAGTTTGGAAGTATGAATGATCAGCAGGAATCTTGTTTCAGATGACAGTGTGGTAGAAGTGAGTAAATTGATTCTTATACTTACTTGTAGCAAGTATTTTAGTTGTGACTTATTAAAACAACATTTAGCAAAAAAGAACAGAAGAGTCATTGTTATGAAGGATTAATTTGCTTTTTTTAACAGTTAGTTTTTAAAAATTTGGGGTTGTGTGTGTTTTAATGACTAGTAGCCTTAAATTTAAGCCTGTGGAGCAGAGAGCCTTAGCCTGATTGCAGAAGGGTCTTGTGGGTGGGATACAGGCAGTCTGTGGACTCTGAAATTATACTCAAAATTGGTCATTTATATGGATTTCTGGGAAGCCATCTTTAAATCCCTTCAGAGGGTTTGGCCTGAAGAGATTGTGAACCTGCTGTCAAGAGACTAGAAGAGCAGCAATAAATAACAAGTCATGTTAGTTTTATGAACAGATTCTAAATTGATCTGTTCTCATGCCTCTGTCTTGGAATTAGGAAAATATACTTTTATCAGATCTCCAAATCATAAATACATTATTCCCTTAAGCATTCATTTAGCTAATGATCTGAAAATATCACATTAAAATGCCTCGTTTTGAAAGACTAATAAATAAAAACACCCCTGTGTGTAAATAGTCAATTTTAAGGGACCCCCTAAGCCATAAAAAATGAAGTTCAGTGATATACTCTCTGCCTTCATGCCTAACTCATGCCTTAGGCATGGAGATCAATGTGTGGTATGTCAGGGTATGTTATTTTCATCTTTCTATCAGCTGAGTTACATTAAGAATGGTGCAACAGGCTCTAAACTTAATTTCCTCATAATTTGATGTCAGATATCACTGTCCATGTTTAATATATCTGAATATTTTATACCCAGCTATGTTCCTAGAAGGATTTTAGACATTGGGAAATGATACATAACATACACCAAGCTAGCATAATTTGAATGTAGGATGGAAGACAATTTTCTAAAAAGTGACAGCAGAGAATGGGAAGGAAGAATTCGGGAAGGGAATGTCAGCTGTCAGGGAGGAGTTACTATGGAGGGAAATTAAGAGTACTTTGATTCTGCGTGATGGAAGCTGAGCCAGGAAAATTCTGGTTAGCTTGACTATGACCTGTTTGAGCTCAAAGTACTTGGCCTGGGGAGTCCTTGATCTATGCCTGTGTGGTCCATGTGTCATGTCAAGGGGACAGAAGTGGGATCTGAAACAATGTGGTCTTAGGAATGCAATAAGAAACCATATGTAATGACCTATATACTTGTTAAGTTGGGTAGAAATTTGAACCTTAAATGTTCTGACAGCCAGCTTGAACTGGAAAAAACTTGACTATTACATAGTGTACTGTGTTCAGGAGATAAAATAAGGTGATTGTTTAGGAGACTCACCATCCTTCTCAAGACCATGATCAGCATGAATATCTCCTGGTGCTCCTCTGGAGTGCTCCATGGAGTTCTGTCTCTACTAGTAGTGATGTTGGTGGGTCATGGGACACTTAAAGCAGAGTGAAGCCTGTTTTGATAGATTATGAGACGCTTAGAGGTGGGTGAACCATGCAGTGTGATAATTTTCTACCTAATCCAAATTAAATGGTAGCAAGCACAGAGAGGTCAACTGTAGCTTAAACCTCTAAACTTGATATTTTAGGTAGGGATGTGGGTAAAAAGTACCAAGTTTTTTCCCACATACTGTAGCTCATTGGTTCTTTTCATTAATAAAGTTGTTAAGAAATTTCATGTGTAAATTTAATACATCTATCTAAAAGCACTTCTCACAGAAGTCAAATTAATTGAATCCTTCTATATCCTTTTTCTGTATTCTTTTCCTTACCATTTGTTTGTATGGTTGCTATATATTTTCAAGCCTGTTAGTCATATGAATATTGCAAAAACCATTATAAAAACTCTATCAAAGCATACTTGGGTAAATTTCAATTATATTTAAATTAAATTATCTTAAAATCTGTTGCTAATGTGGGCATATATTCTACATGTCTGATTTCTTCATCTTTCC